CCCCCCCCCCTCCGGGCTTGTTTCAGCGGGTTTGGGGGCTGTGTGCAGTGGGGAGCGGTGGTCATTCAGCCCGTTTGCAGGGTGCCCAGGCGAGCAGCGTTGGCGTCTCCATCCGCACGCGATCGTGCTGCCACTTTGGCAGCAGGTCTGTCGTTTCCTGTGGAACCGCCTATGACACTGGGACTCATTCTGCCTGGTAACCAGAGAGAGAGAGAGATACAGCAATGCTCAGTTTATTTCTCTCTCTCGTTCTCAGTTTCTTCTCTCCCTTTCCTCTAATTCCATGTCACTTTGTGCCCCTCTTTCTCTCTCTCTCTCTCTCTCTTTTACCTACCTCCTTTTTTCCTCTCTCTCTCACTCTTTCCTCTCCCTGTCACTTTCACTCCGTCTCCTCGTTGATTCCCTCTCTCTTCCCCGCACCTTCTCGCTCTGACTGTCCCCCTTCTTTTTAACTAGTCTTTGTTTTCTTTCACTCTCGTTTTCCCCGTCTTTCTCCTCTCCCACCTTGTGGCTTTTGCGTTCGCTGTTCATGTCTTTCTTCCGATCCCAACCCCCCCCCTATTCCCAAACTGGATGTGATTCCCCGCCACCTATCAAGATGATGAGAGACATAGATAGTGTGGAGAGCCAGAGACTCATTCCCAGGGGCGGAAATGACTATTATGAGAGGACATAATTTTAAGGTGATCGGAGGAAGGTATAGGGGAGATGTCAGGGGTTGGTCAGAGCGGTAGGGCGTGTGTGGAATGCGCTGCCAGCAGTGGTGGTGGAGTCAGATACTTTTAAGCGACTCTTGGATAGGCACGTGGAGGATAGTAGGATATGCAGGGTAGTTTGATCTTGGTAGGATAATAAGTCAGCACAACATGGTGGGCCGAATGGCCTGTACTGTGCTGTACTGTTCTATGCTCTAAATAACTGGCACTATCAGCCCCATTGACTGGGAGCTGGCCACCACTAGGAACGATGTATCCATTTCGACGTTTCTCCCGGCTGGGAGTTTTCGGAGGGGGCACGACGGGTTTTGTGGGGGGTCGTGGGGAAGATACCTGATGGCCAGGCTGTGGCGCCAGGCTCCAGGGTGAGGAGGGGAGACGGCGTCCTGGGTAAATCCTTTCCGTTCTCGTGTTTCCCCCCACCCCCCACAGGACCGCTGTTCAGCTTCGATGTCCACGAGGATGTTCGCTTACTCAGCGATGCCACCGTTGAGAAGGATGAGGTAGGATTACACCCTGTGCCTGCAATTCTGGCCGTTTCCCCCTTCCACCTCGCATCCCATTGCCCTCTGAGCTGTGATTCAGGGGTCTGTACTTTGACCTGACCACACTCTGGTATCATAATCCAGCCTGAACATTCCCCCAGGATCAGCGCGGAGGGAGTGGGTGCTGTGGGAGGGTCTGCGCTCGAGGGAGCGGGCGCTGTGGGAGGGTTGGCGCCCAAGGGAGCGGGCGCTGTCGGAGGGTTGGCACCGAGGGAGCGGGCGCTGTCGGAGGGTCAGCGCCGAGGGAGTGGGTGCTGTCGGGAGGCTCGGTGCTGAGGGGAGTGGGCACTGTCGGAGGGTCAGCGCTGAGGGAGCCAACATCCCTTTGGAAATGAAGCAATCATGGGATCTTGCTGTGTGTGTAAATGCTCCCTCTCCCCGTTTCCAGCTTTACAGCCCTGTGGGTAGAGAGTGATTGAGTTTCTCTGAAACCCATGGGTGTGGGGAGGTGGTAGCGAGCCTTCTAAATCCTGGGAAGTGGAGGCACAGTGACTCGTCACAGATGAAAACCTCATGTGTGTGTGTTTCAGTCCCACGCTGGGAAGGTCGTCCTGAGGAGCTGGTATGAGAAGAACAAGCACATTTTCCCGGCTAGCCGCTGGGAACCCTACGATCCAGAGAAGAAGTGGGACAAGTACACGGTGAGCCTCTCAAGACGGGGACATCGTTGGTTCTTAGCCTCACCTACGCACACCCCTCCCCAGGGGTTTGGGCCACTC